ACCAACCACACAGAGTATCTAATTTTTAAATATCCTGCTCAGTATAAAAAAAGCACCATCATATTACCCAGTAATTCTGGAGTACCTTTTCAGTGATCTAGGTCTCCCCATTAATCTGCTTGAATAACTGATTTTCTGAATGTGAAGGCATTGAATAACTGATTTTCTGAATGTGAAGGCAAAACTTGACATTATATTTATTGCATTTCATCTTTCTTTTCAACTGTGTTTCCAGTCTATTGTGGTCTTTGAGATCTTAATTCAGGCCCCATGGAGAGGTTTTCCTCTCAGACAAGCATACTGGGCAAGTGTGCTAATGTGCCTTGTAAGTCTTCATGCAAATCCCCTACCGAGACTCAGAGCAGAACAGGCAGAGCACAGCTGTGTCCTGTTTCTGGATCTCTCCAGATCGAGGCTGATTCCCACCAACGCTCCTTGAGGACGGTATTCAAGCGAGCTACCTGCCCTAGCATGCCACATATGAATGTCCATATTGCTTGTTTTGCTGACATTATCCAATTGCAAATGCCACTCAGCTCAGGAAACTGCAGGGGCTGTCATGCCTGCACAGAAATAGGAGCATGCTCGCCCTCACAGAGCTCCCAACCATGCTGGTGTAAAAATGGGCGCTTGTGAGAAAACACTAATCCATACAAGGCCGGGTATGGTCAATCCCCAGGAATGACACAAAGATGTCCAATAAACACACGAATAGACCACTGAGCAGTTACTCATTCAACAAACTTTTATAATAAACAGAGCGACGCCAGGCTCGCTCTGGATTCCCTGTCGTCTTTAACCCTCATAACCACCCCTTGAAGTTCATGTTCCCACCTTGTTCGAGAGGGAAGATGGAGGCTCAGGAAGTTTAAGGGACTTGCCAAAGGTCACACATCTAGTGTGCGGTGTTGAGCCCAGGATCCACCTCTGAAGCCCAGGATGCCCTGAGCTGCCCAATGGCCCATTCATGGTCCTGCCATTGGGGTTGACTTTGCTCATGAGAAAAGGACTCTGCTCTCAGGGAATGGCCCAAGGGCCATACTAAGGGCAGAGCCCAAGCATACCATCTTGGAGACCCCTGTTAAAGGGGAATGGGGCTGGTGTGGCAGGCCCTCAGGTCGGGCGCTCATGCTACGGGTTGGGGCCACCAAAGCCAGACCCAGCCAAGCCATGCTGGGGCTCAGGAACCACAAGCGCCTCCACATGTTCCCACAGAGCACCCACCCTGCAGACAGCTCTGCAGCACTCACACGTGAGCAGGAGGGCTCCCCGCTTCCCAGGCCAAGGAATTCCCTCAGATCGAACCATTCTCACTTCCAGTAGAACAGTGTATTCTGAAGAACCAAAATGATGGCAATTATTCTGCCCCCTCTAGGACTGGAGATATGGAAAATAGGCCCAGTCTTGTGTTTGGGTTTATTCCCTGAGAATGAAAGCCTGTTCCTCTCTCTGTCCTGAGTGAATACCAGTGCGGGGTGAGCCAGGATACAGATGAGGGCACCCTCCCCAGCAGTAATGTGACCAACAGGCCGGTGTCCATGAGACAAGTCGTTGGTCCCCGTGTGGAAGTGCCACTGGATGGTGATCGTTCACAAAACTGATGGGGAGAAAAGAACAAAGAAGCAGGTTCCAGGATGCAGGACTGTGTGCCAGAGAGTCAGGGAGAGGAGCTGGAAGGGCAGTGAGCTGAGGAAGGTCAAAGGCCTGGGGAAGGAAAGTCTCAGATGTATGGTGGGGAAGAGGCTGGGTGAGGAGTCAGGTGCAGAGAGACTTACTGCCAAGCGAGCAGCAGATCCAGGTCACTGATGTGGATGTGACTGGCAGCTGGGTACCTGGCGGCTATGGAGAGAATTATCTCCACAGTCCACCAGGAAGTACAGACATTTCTGGAGACAGGGCTGCCTTCTCAGGAAACGGGCTGCCAGCAGCACAAGGCCAGGGCAGCTCCAAGCTCCTTTTATACCATTTGTCCTCCTGTGCCTGCCCAGCAAGCCCAGGGTGAAGAAACAGACCCAGCTAGGAGAAGACCATACAGTCCACAAAGCAAAAGTTCTCATTTACTTCTTAAAGATCCACCTGTGTCAAGCATTACAGCCTGAACTGCACCGATGGGAAGCCTAGGTGAGGGGGAGCCCCTTGGCGCACCAGGGGATCCCCAGTGACTCCTGCTCACAAGCCTGCGCGCAGCCCACACTGTGCTTCAAACCACAACTGGAAGGGTCAGAGGAGAGTTCATTGTAATTCAGTCCTTTGAGGAGCGTGAATACAGCCACATTTCATCATGAGCATCAGGCACATCTTCTGGGATAAATAATGCTCCAAACTGTGCCATTAGCCTGAGCAGCAGCCAAAAACAAAAGCCCAGGCTCTCTCCGGGCATGCCAGTCTGGCTCAGGTTCATACTCGGCAGAGGACCCAAGCTCCAACCACTCTGACCTCAAATGTCCACTTGGCCTCACAGGGGAAGACACTCTTGGCTAACTTGTTAACTTCCTAACCCACCCGGCTCCACCTCAAGGCTATATATGAGGCAAGAGTCACAGGGGGCTCTTACTCCATACCTCAAGCTCTTCAAAAGGGAATCAATATAGAAAAAGTAAAACAGTCGCAGGAAATACCATTGGAGGCTTCTTGTGTTCAGTGGTTGATAAAAACCCAGGAGTCTGTTTCAGAGCACATCACACAGGGCTGGAGCTGCAGCTGGGGCACCTGGGGTGATGGTGTGGGGCCAGGCCTGCAGAGGAAGGTATACGACGGGGAGAGCCAGGCCCCTGCCCAGGGCTGCCTTGAGTGTGCCTGCCCTCACTCCAAAGAGGGAGGCCCAGACCCTGAGCTTCAAGGGCCATGGGTGCATCCTCTCTGAGGAGGCTGTGCTCAGAGCACAGGCAGGCCTGTGAGTGGAGGTGTGGGGCATGAAGGGCTGCAAGGCCAGAAAGATGAAGGAGCCTCCTTCACATCCTGGACAAAAAAATGTTTGAAAGGAATGTCTCCAGTGGCTAGGAACTCAGGCCCTGGGAAGGCACAGATGGGTGACTTGCCAGCTTGGCCTTTGTATATGTCTGTGGAACCAGAAAGAGCCATCAGAAAGCCCAGCCCTTTAGTTTCCCAGCCCTGTAACCAAGCGCTCAGCCTCCCTGACCGTGCCTGAGCCCCTCCAGGGAAGTGGGTAGCCGATGGGTCTCATCTGGCCTTCACAGGGCATGGGTGCCACTGTTTACCTCCTTGGAGTTCCCTACAGGGTTTTCTCCAAGCTTCTTAAATTGCAATCTAAAGAAAAGTACAACAATGCTAACTATTTTACAACTGCTCTGTGTAACCACTCCCAAGACCAAAATATAAAACATCTCCACATCCAGAAGCCTCCCCTTGCCTCTTCCAGTCAATCTCTCCCCAAAGTCACCAGTGCTGTGACTTCCATTACCCTGAACTAGTTCTGCCTGCTTTTGAACTTCCTTAAAAAAATACAAAAACATACAGCATATATTCTTATATATGTGGCTTCTTTCAAAAGTTTGTCTCTGCTTTCAAATATAATAATCCATGCTTTCAAATATAGTAATCTTTTGTTCATTTTTACTGCTGGATATTATCCCATTGCATGGACATACCATACTTTATCCATTCCTCTGATGACGAACATTTGACTTGTTTCTACTTTGGGCCATCTTAGTAAAGTTTCTATGAACATTCTTATATATGTCTTTGAGTATCCCTATAAAAGTCTGCCTGGAAAAATTTCCACCAGCTAAAATGTCTGAGAGCAAAGATTTTTTTCACTTCTAGACTGCACAGTAGTGGTATTTATGCATCAATCTTTTATCTGAAGCAGCAGGACAGAGAAGAACAAACCACCCCTTCCCACCACCCCGGGAACTGAACCAAATGCACAAATAGAAGCTTCAAGATGTTAGAGAAATTGTGAATCTTACAAGTGTACTAGAGAGGGGTGTGTGTGTGTGTGTGTGTGTGTGTGTGTGTGTGTGTGTTTTCATACTGTTGCTATTGTGGGAGGATCTTAGAATTTCCTGGGCAGCTTATGGAAAATAAACGTGAGAGAACCACCAGTCCAAAATATTTAGGGAAAGGGGAGGAAATGACAAGAGATGAAGTTGGAAAAATAGATTAGGGTCAAATTCAAACGGCCTTGAATGCCACGCTAAAGCATTTGGACTTTATCCTGTAATCAACGGGAATTACCAGATGTGTTTAACAAATACCAACTGGCACCCATGTACCACTAAGTAGGTGTGGTAAAGGTGGCCTTGTCACCTACTAAGCTGAGAGAACTACAGTTTGTTAGGGAGTGGCAGGGAAGTGAAGAGTTAAATCTGTGTTCGAGCAACCCGTGTTCAAGTCCCAGCTCTGCCACTCACCAGCTGGGGGGACCTCTCTGTGCCTCTATTTGCTCATCTGTGACATGGAAACCTTCATGGTTTTCATGTGCTGGGGTTATTGAGATTAAATGAGGAAATACTTAGAAGTATCTGGCATACAGCAAGCACTTAATGTGCATTAGCTGAAATGATTCTTATAGGATGATTCCAGAAGCTGCAGGATGACACATGGGGTCAGCTCATGAACACACACGGGTGGACATACACGACAAATGGTACACACATACCCTAGGGTCAAACACTCCTACACACATACAAACAGCCCATGGTGAACAGGCATTTAGAGGCCGAACACTCTAAGACGCTCTCCACTCAACAATAGCCCATAACTCATTCACTAGGAACCTAGTGCTCCATAGTTACGAAAAAGAGACAGGAAATCAGTAGGCCCCAAATTAGCCAAAAATCATCTTCCCGTTAGGGACTTGCAGTCGGGTGAACTTCCCAACAATCCAGAGTCCTAGGAAGACTCTGTGAATGGCCTGGCAGCATTTCCTTCAGCTCTGTTTGCAGCAGTAAAGGGAAGTGCTGCCTTTGGGCGTGAGCTCTTCTCCTTTGGGGTAGGAGAATCTGGGAAAAATGGGTGCCGGGTGCAGATGGCCTTACCTCCACGTACAGGAGGGGGAAAATTCCAATCTTGTCTCCCAGCATTCCCTCTGCCCAGTTGTCATCCACTCTTCTGATCACAGTCAGGATTTCATCCTGGAATTGCCAGAGCCCACCATGTGTACAAACACATGGACATAACACACAACAAAAAAGAAAACAAGAGACCTGTTAGTGCTGCTGAAGCTTAAAGAGTCTAAGCAACGATTCAAAGAATGGTTTATTATCCGTTCCAAGATCTGACATATAAAAATAGTCAACCCTTACATTTTCACTCAGAACCTCTTTCTCTCTTATGTATTGATTACAGCTACGAAGATCTTCTAATGGAAAAGCACGGCAATTTACAATAGTATTTATACGGTTGTTCCCTTATCCTTGATTTTGCTTTCCACTGTTTCAATCACCTATGGTCAACTGTGGCCTGAAAATATGAAATGAAAGATTCCAGAAATAAACAATCCATAAATTTAAAATTGCATGCTATTCTCAGTAAGATGATGAAATCTCACACCATCCCACCCCAGACATGAATCATCCCTTTGTCCAGCACAGCCATGCTGTATACATTCCCTGACCATTAGTCACTAGGTTATCAGATTGACTGTTGTGGATTCACAGTGCTGGTGCTCAAGTAACTCCTATTTTATTTAATAATAGCCCCAAAATGTAAGAATAGTGACGCTGGCAATTTGGACATGACAAAGAGAAGCCATAAAGTGTATGTATGTGTGTATGCACAGGAAAAAACATAGCATATACTAGGTTCAGTGCTAATGGGGTTTCAGGCATCTACTAGAGGTCTTGAAAGGTATAACCCCCATAATAAAAGAAAATAAAACCAGAACTATGAATATGGGAAAGAAGAGTATGTAATCTTTCTACTTAGAAAAACAGAGTATCAACTAAAAATTAGAATAAGAAATACAGAAAGGCTACTAATTTTTAAATAAATACATAAAAAGAATTGGTTTTCCGATTTATCAGCAATAATCAGTTAGAAAATGTGACTAAAACTGGCTAACCATTAAAAAAATAAAGTTAGTGCTCTAATCCACCATATATGCCAAAATTTGCCAAAATTAACTCCATAAGGACTAAATATTTAAATGTTAGAAAAATAAAATTGAATGTCCAAGAAGAAACTATTATAGATGTTTAATCTTGAGTTAAGGACGGTCTTTTGAAGTATCATAACAAAGATTTGGCTACAGAAAAATGAAATTCTCTATGTTAAAAATACCAAAGCAAAACAAAAAGGTAAATACACTACTAAAAACTGGCAGAATGTATTAAAGAAAAAGACTTACTATCTTTACTATATAAAATCTTAGACGCAGTAGAAGAAAAAGACAAATATCTTTAGAAAAAATAGGCCAAGGGCAAAAATCAGGCAACTCACAAAAAAGAAGAAATGCTAATTGCCATTAAACACATTTCAAAATGCTATACGTGACTGATAAAAAATATAATTTTAAATAAGAAGATTCCTTTTTTTTCTTCTTTGTTCTTTTTTGCCTATCAAATTAACAAAGATTAATATAAAGCCAACTCACAGTGCTGGTCAGCAGACAGGGAAAAGGCACTTTATCATTTTTGGTGGGAATATAAATTTATGGCAGGCATTTAGGCAATTCCTAACAAACATCAAAGCCTGCATACCCACTGATCTAACAATACTTCTAGGGGTTCTAGCCTAAGAAAATCAAAGGCGTGCAAATAGATTTAGCTCTGAGGATGTTCATGATAGTGTTTGTTCAGCTAGAGAAAAACTAGAGACAAATACACAGCAAAAAGAGAATTGGTTAAATCAATTATGGTATTGTCTATCAATACCATACTCAACTCCAGCCCACTCTAGCCATCCTGTCCTACCTAAGGAGGAGGGGGAAATGGAGACACACACGTGGAGTTCACATTCTAGAGGTACAGGTTCCTTAGAAGACTGAGACCTGGTAATAGGATCATAGGAATATAGAAAGCTTCCTCTCTCCCCAAATCTCACCACCACATTACTAAAGGCCTATTACAACAGTTCCTTTACCTGGTACATCATGCTCAACTGTCAAAAAAATTATTATTCATACTAAAAGGAAAAAACACAATTTAAAGAGACAACAAACATCAAACCCAGACTCAGATATGGCAGAGATGTTGGAACTATCCGATGGGGAATTTAAAACAACTATGACTGACATGCTAAAGGCTCTAAGGGATTAAGTAAATGGTGTGTAAGAACAGATGAGCAATGTAAGTAAAGAGATGGAAATTCTAAGAAAGAACCAAAAAGTAATGTTAGAGACCAAAAACACTATAACAGAAATTTTAAAGTGCCTTTGCTAGACTTATTAGTAGACTGAATATGCTGAAGAAAGAATCTCTAAGCTTAAGGATAACTCACTAGAAACCGCCAAAACTGAAAAGCAAAGAGAACAAAGACTGGAGGGAAAAAATACGAAACAGAATATCCAAGGACTGTGGGACAACTACAAAGGTTTAGCATATGATTAATGAGAATATTGGGAGAAGAAAGATAGGAAAAGAAATTTTTGCATAATAATGACTGAGAATTTCCCTAAATTAATGTCAGTTACCAAACCATAGATTCAGGAAGTTTATAGAATACCAAGAATGATAAATGCTAAAAAGCCAACAGGTAGGCGTATCATTTTCAAACTATAGAAAATCAAAGATAAAGAAAAAATACTGAAAAAAGCCAGAGGGGAAAAAAATACCATACCTATACAGGAGCAAAGATAAAAATTATACCCAACTTCGCAGAAACCATGCAAGCAAGAAGAAAGTGAGATAAAATATTTAAAATGTTGAGAAAAAAAATCCACCAACCTAGAATTCAGTATCATTCAATAGTGAGGGAGAAATACTTTCTCAAACAAAAACTGAGAGAATGTGTTGCCAGTTGATCTGCCTTGCAAAAAATGCTGCAAGTTCTTCAGAGCGAAGAAAAGATACATAGGTCAAAAACTCAAACCTACACAAAGAAAGGAAGAACAATGGGGAAGGAATAAGTAAAGGTAAAACAAACTTTCATTTTTCTTAATCTTAATTGATCTAACAGATACCAGTTTGTTCAAAATAATAATAGCAACAATGTATTTGATTATGTATGTGTATAAAAATATCACTTATTATATATCATATAGATTATAAATATACTTATGCATGCTTATATATCATTCCTGTGACATAAGGAACAGGAGGGAAGATTTAGGATTATTTTGTGTAACGTGCTTATACTACCTGTGGAAAAGTATAGTGTTTTTGAACTTGAACTTGAATTAGTTGTAAATGTATATTGCATACTCTAGGGTGACCACTAAAAAAATTTTTTTAAGGTACGACTGATACGTTAAGAACAGAGATAAGATGGGATCATATAAACTGCTCAATTAAAATTGAAAGAGGCAAAAAAAAAGTGGAAGACAAAAACACAAACGTAAGTCAAGGGCAATAAATAGAAAACAGAAACAAACATGGTAAATATTAATCTAACTATATCGATAATCATTTTGCATGTCAATGGTTTAAATGCACAAACCGAAAGACAAAGATTCTCAGGGTGGATCAAAAAATAAGACCCAACTCTATGTTGTCCACAAAGAACCCACTTTAAATATAAAGATACATATAGATTAAAAGTAAATGGATGGAGAAAAATATACCATGCTAACACTAATCAAAAGAAAGTGGGAGTAGCTATATTAATTTCAAATAGAGCAGAATTCAGAGCAAGCAATGTTGTCAGGGATAATGAGAGGAATTATATAATGATAAAGGGATCAATTCTTCAAAAAGACATATAATATACGTATTCCTAACAACAGAGAGTCAAAATACCCAAGGCAAGGCTGAAAGGAGATATGGATGAATCTACTATTATAGCTGGTAACCTCAACGACACCATCAATCAACTGGATATAATGTATCTCTATAGATGACTTAATCTAAGAATAGCAAAATACACATTATTCTCAAGCTCAAAAGGAATGTTCACCAAGATAGATCACATTTTGGGCCATAAAATGCACCTTAACAAAATAAAAAGAATAGAAACCATACAATGTCTGCTCTCAGAACTCAATGGAATTAAACTAGAAATCAATAACAGAAAAATAACTGGAAAATTTCAAAATACTTGGAAATTAAACAACATAATTCTAAATAACACTTGGTTCCAATAAAAAATATCAAGAGAATTTTTAAAATATTTTAAAATAAATGAAAATGCAAACCAACTTATCAAAATTTATATGCTATAGTAGTGCTTAGAGAGAAATTTATAATAGTAAATGCACACATCAGAAAAGAAATATCTAAAATTAATAATCTAACCCTCCACCTTAGAAAACTAGAAAAATAAGAGTGAATTAAATTCAAAGTAAGCAGAAGAAAAAATAATGTAAAGTAGAGTAGAAATCAATAAAATTGTAAAAGAAAATTAATAGAAAAAAATCAACAAAATCAAAAGCTGGTTATTTGAAAAGATCAATAAAATTGATAAGTCTCTTACCATGCTAACCAAGAATGAAAGAAAGAAGATACAAACTACTAATACCAATAATGAAAGAGGGAACATTACTATAGATTATATGAACATTAAAAGGATAATAAAGGAATATTATTGAGCAACTCTATGCCCACAAATTTGGTAACTTAAATGAAACAGATCAATTTCTTTAAAGATCTAATCTACCAAAACTCACACAAGAAGAAATAGATAATCTGAATAGGCCTATATCTATTAAATCAATCATTAATCAATAATTCAACTTCCAAAACAGAAAGCACCTAACCCAGATGGGTTTACTGGTGAATGTTACCAACATTTAAGGAACAAAGTATACCAAATTCTGTAACAATCTCTTCCAGAAAATAGAAGCAGAGGGACCGCTTCCTAACTCGTTCTATGAGGCCAGCATTACACTAATACTAAAATTACACTAATAGGCAAAGAAAACCACATACCAATGTCTCTCATGAATATTGATGCAAAAATCCTCAACAAAATATTAGCAAATTGATCCAAAAAAGTATAAAAAGAATTATACAGCATGCAACTAAGATTTATCCCAGGT